ATCGTTGTCGGTTTTTCTGCCCGAGTCAAAGGAACGAAGTTTTGAGCAGGACGTGACCCTGTACATTACTCGGCTTACTTATAAAGTTAACGTTGTGTTGTTTAATTTAAAAACGTTTTAATTCGATCCAAATTGCTTAAGTTAAAAATTAATTGGCACAAGAGCAAATATTATTGTTTTTGGAGTTGCTCTTTTTATTTTTTATAGGATAGGGTGACAACTGAGCACACAGTCCACCTGATGGTAATTGGTTGCTGTGGCATCTATCCTCGATTACGAATGGAATTGCAAATGCGTTGTCACGCGTAAAGACTAAGATGGAATGCCTCTTTTTCTAGTAAAAAGGGTCTTCTGTTCTCTGCACTCACCATACGAAACACAGCAGCATTACGCTACTATTTTACGCTATATTCTGTGAGATTCGCGGTATTCTGTGAGAGCGTGGTCCTCCCCCGGATGAGCCGATCCATTCGTGCTACAACTATACTACTAATATAACTACAGCTCTCAATGCTCCAGGGGGAAACGGTAATATGGGCCTTCTTTTAATTTTTTTTGCATCCAAATATATGCACATAGTTAAAGTACGCAACAGTGCACAAATAAAACGCAGCACGTTTTCCATCTCGCCTAGCGTGTGAGCGACCATAACTTACTTACTGACTTATAGTTCCTCACGAAGTTGAGCGAGTGTGTACAGAGGCTCCTCGTACCTCGGCTGATTTTGGCAAATACTTCAGGCGAGGAACTTCGCGAGAAGTGTACTGCAGCCTTAAGATTTTACGAAGTTTATAGGAAGCACAGACAATATTATTTAAGAAACAAAAAACAAAACATATGTGCTGACCTAGAAGTGTGAATAATATCAATATTTAAATATTATTATCACATTTAAATTGAAAATTTGTATCTTATGCCTTTTGACACTCGGCTCATATCTGGTCATTGTCAGTTTTTCTCAATCGATTTGGCACATACTATAGTGCCACATAAATACTGTTAAGACAATGAATGGGAAAGGGTTATTCCATTTATCCACCCTAAAAAATCCACCCTAGGGTAGGTTAGGTAGGGATACTCGGAAACATGTCATTTATCTACCCCAGATGGCGTGGATAAACGGATAAAAGAGAAACGAGGCCTATTGAGCTTATAAGCCAAAAGGCTAACAGCATTAGCATTATGGAGTGTAGGAGTAAGAAGTACAGACTGTGTATTAAAAAGTGTCCATAAACACCATTAAATAAGGTTGGCGTCACTATAACTACGGGGTAAATTTTAAAGAACGCACCGAAAATATTAGTGGGATAGACGACATTTTCGAGGTTATATTTACTAAATAAAATTATTTTAGATTTCCTCTCCAGCCCTTAGCATTTCGAGTGAAACTCTATCATATCCGGCAGCCTTGCCTGCTTTCATGCTTTTCATTGCTTTCATTATTTCATCTATACTTACCTCGCTACCTCTTTCCTCTTCTTTCGGAGTTCCTATTTCATTCAGTTCATACGTTGTCTCCTCACTCATAAACATGCTTTCAAAATATTCCTTCCATCTCTTTAAACTCAAAACTTCATCATTCAGAATATAGCCATTCTCATCTCTTATAGCATTCATTATAGGCTGTTTTGAACATCCCCTGGCAGTTCTTACGAGTTTCCAGAACATTTTAATATTTGCCTGGAAGTTATCCGATATTCTTCTATCATTCTTATCCGTTCTTTCTTGCTTTTTCCTTTCAACTACTTCTTTTACTCTTTTATTTAGATGTCTAATAACTGCCTTTTTTCTTTCAAAATCATCATTCGTACCGCTAGAATTACCAGCTTTAGTTGCTAGTAAATCTAGCCATGCTCTCTTCTTTGCTTCAACTTCCGTACGTATCTCATCATCCCACCATAACGAATTATTTTTCCTTTCATTCTTTCTTTTACTAACACCACATACTTCGGTAGCTGCATCTACTAAACCTTTCTTAACATTTTGCCATACATTCTCCAAGTCTAACTCATTCATACATAATTCATCCAAACCACTTACGTTTTCTTTCAGTCTACATTTAAACTTGTTTTTCTCACCTTCATCTTGTAATCTTTCTGTTCTAATACGCTGTAACGCAGTGGTAGACACAGATGACCGATGGCGCCACCGCCTGAATAGACCATTAATTCGGCATAAAACCAAAAAATGATCCGTTCCTACGTTTGACCCCCGGTAAACCCTTGTATCCACCACTGCGCCCCTCAATCTTTCATCCACAATTATGAAATCTGTCATGCTTCTATCATCACCTCTTTCCCAAGTGTACATGTGAATCCTCTTGTGGCGAAAGAAAGTGTTCGTCACAAAAAGATTCTTTTCCATACATACAGTGAGGAGGCTTTCACCATTCTCATTTATACTTTCATCACCAAACGTTCCCAATATCCTTTCATAACCAAGCCTCCTCACCCCAACTCTTCCATTAAAATCTCCTAGCATAACAACATTTTCATTTCCCTTACATTTCATTAATACCATCCTTACCATTTTCCAAAACTGCTCTTGGATATGAGTGGGCTTAGACATGTCTGGGGCGTAGACCCCTAGCACAAACAACTTCTTTAAGCCCACTTTCAATCGTATCCATAGCAGTCTTGGGCTTACACATTCATACTCTTTCACACATTGCACCATTCTTTCTGATAGGATGATACCTACTCCCTGGCATGCCCGCTCGAGCTCGTCTACACCAGACCAGTATGCGGTATACATGCCATGTGTAGTGACATCCTTCCCCTTCCGTTTCGTCTCATTTACACATAACAAATCTATTCCTCTATCATACATCACCTCGCATACTTCATCCATTTTATCATTCATTGCTCCACATACATTCAACGTAGCCAGACGGGCCTCTGCAATCCACTTTTCGCCTCTCCGGGAGACAGAACGTGACGGGTGGCGAGCCTCGTCGCCGGTTTTCCTCCCGGAGATTCTTCGCACCCCTGCCCCATTAAAGGGGCGCCGGGAACTCGGGGCCATTTCTTTAATTTGATTCATGATATCCTAACTCACTGGGAAAACCCTTTCGCTTGATAGATTTTTGGAATTTAATAGTTAGTTCTTCTTATTTAAGGCCAATGCTAAGGGCTGGAGAGGAAGTGGTGGCAGGCCTGCTGCACACCTTGTTTAATTTATGCTGGGAACTGAAGCGGGTACCGGGAGACTGGTGCAAAGCCGTGATAGTCCCAGTATATAAGGGAAAAGGGTCGCAGCAGGACTGTAAAAACTACCGCGGTATCAGCCTTCTTAGCATCGTGGGAAAACTGTATGCCAAGGTACTAATTGAAAGGGTCATGAAAGAAACCGATGGAAAAATTTGGGATGTGCAAGCGGGATTTAGAAAGGGAATGGGATGTACAGATCAAGTCTTCTCCATGCGCATGATCGCGGAGAAGTTTTTGGCCAAAAACTAAAAGGTTTTTTGTGCGTTCATGGACTTGGAGAAGGCCTATGACAGAGTGGATAGGAATGTGCTATGGCAAACACTGAACTCATTTGGGTTGAGCGCTGGCTTGATACAGGCATTGGAATCTCTTTATAGGGACTCTAGTGCTTGTGTTAGGATCAACGGGGTCTACTCGGACTGGTTTGGCATCCATAAAGGTGTCAGACAGGGCTGTGTGGCTTCCCCCGTGGTTGTTCAACCTATTTATGGACAGTTGTTTGCAAAATTTGAAAGTTGAAGAATGCGGATTAAGAATGGGTGAGTTAACCATCAAATGCCTTTTGTACGCCGATGATCAAGTTATTCTTGCGTCGTCGGCGGCTGAGTTGCAAATGATGGTTACATTAATGAACAGATCATTAAAAGAAAGGGGTATGAAAGTGAACGCAAGTAAGACAAAAATTATGGTTTTTGAAAGACATGAAAGTAAAACGATATGTGAAATAAGAATAGAAGGGGAGTTGATCGAGCAAGTAGATGAGTTTGTATATTTGGGTTGCGTATTTAGCAGGGATGGGAGATATGATAAGGATATAGAACGACGAGTGAATGCAGGAAACAGAGTAAATGGAGCCCTGCACTCTATTGTGAAGAGTCAAAATGTGTCAAAAAAGGCACGTATGGCAATTCACAATGCTGTGTTGGTCCCTACTTTAACGTATGGTAGTGAAAGTTGGGTATGGCAGAAGAAGCACGAGAGTAGAATAAATGCAGTAGAAATGCGGTCGTTAAGGAATATGTTAGGGCTGAATCTGAATGACAGGGTGAAAAATTGTGTGATAAGAGAAGAGTGTGGTTTGCAAGATGATGTTGTGACCAGGATTAAGAAAGGAATGCTTCGGTGGTTTGGTCATGTGGAAAGAATGGATGAGGAAAGAGTGACAAAGAAAATTTATGTTGCAGAAGTGAATGGCAGAGTCGGAAAGGGACGTCCTAGGCGAAAATTTATCGACCAAATTGGCGATTTATTGAAAACGGGCCAAATTAGGAGTACCCTTAACCGACGAGCATGCATGCGTAGGTGTATGGATGTGAAGGAGGCGAGAGAGGTGTGTCAGGATCGTGCCGAATGGACGTCTGTAGTCTCTGCCTACCCCTCTGGGTGACAGACGTGAGTGTTTATGTTTATGTTTATATTTTAGATTTTGTAGCTACTGAGCAGTTTATCACCCCACATTTAACCCGTCGACAACTGCTAAGTTCATTTTATCCCAGTAGCTACTCCAGCGCTGTTGTGGAGAGTTTTTGAGCTGTTATTTACTTTTTCAACTATTCTACTAATCTACTATGTGAGTTGGTACTCCTTACGTCTACACTTCATAATTAGCATCATCAGAAACCAGGGACTATAGCTCAGCGCAGACTCATATGATCGTATCTTCGTATCTATGATTTTATTTTTGACATTTGATTTGACGTTTTAAATTACAAATATTTTCGCGCGATTCTTCAATTTATTTATTGTTTTATTATTTATTTATGTAGCATGCGCTTGATTTAAATTTTAAAAATGAGTAACGAAAACGTAACTATAATGGAAGTAGACGAGGCAGAACCTAAAGTTTCTAAACCAGTTGTGGGACCAAGTAAACCTGTTGGTCTATTACCATGGATAGAAAAATACAGACCTCAGACTTTTGACGATATTGTTGGCAACGAGGACACAGTATCAAGATTAGCTGTATTCGCCCGTACTGGTAACGCACCAAACATCATCATTGCAGGACCACCGGGGGTGGGAAAAACGACTACGATCTTGTGTCTAGCCCGGGCGTTACTTGGTTCTGCCTTTCGAGATGCAGTACTTGAACTCAATGCATCTAATGATCGCGGTATCGACGTTGTGCGTAACAAAATCAAAATGTTTGCCCAACAAAAGGTTAGCTCCTTTTACATCTTTGATTATTTGCGCTTTTGTTGTAAATTATTTCATAGGTGTTCATTAAACACCTTGTAATATTAAATATGGCATAAAATTCTTGGACCATAACCCAATATATTCAACAAGTGCCTCATTGGGTTCTTATGTAATAACAATACTACTGAAAGGATCAATTTTATCAGTCGAGATCAAAAGAAGTGTTTTTTAAAATGAGTAAAAAAGGCAGTTTTCAGTTTTGTAAAAGTTATTTTTACCACAAAATGAAATATGTAATAATGTATATTACATGCAATCAAAAATGAAAAGGAATGATCAAAACCTAATTTTGGTTTTGTTTTTACTTATTGTTGCAAATCCCCTAGTGAAAAGGGTATGCAGAATGCCATAGTTCTTTTTTAAAATATATTTTAATTTATTACACACTATTCAGTATTTCTTATTATTTCACTGTGTGAAATTGAGGAAAAAAGAAGAAAGAGAAAGCGTACTGTGTTGTGAGTGAGAGGGGTGAGGGGAAGGGAGTCATGGGGGTAATTCTTTAGTAATCTGCTGCACGAATTATTGGTCGCCGAGTGGGCGGGTAGATGGGGGTGAGGGGTAGGAACCTTCCCCTAAAAGAATTAAGTGCCGGAACCCCCCCCCATTTTTTATGAATTTTTTTTAGTAATCTGCCGCATGAATATATGGTCACCGAGTGGGGGGGGGCTAGGGTAGGAACCTCGCCCTAAAAAGGGGGAAGTGCCAGAAACCCCCCTTTTTTTTTGTAAAATCAGACTCTCATTTTTTATACAGGAATATTGACGCAGTTACTTCTGCAATGGCTTCGGCACTGCGGGAAGTGCAGCCCCTTTGCCCTTGCGTAGCAAATCACAGGCACCCACTCTAGTAACAGAGTTAAGAGCAACTAGACTTTATAGATAAAATAGGTCGAATCGGTTTGACCGTTAGCACACCCCGCTCCACGTAGTGTCTGCTCCCCTAGAGGTTTTTGGCCGTAGGCACGGAGGTAGAGCAGCCCCCGCCCGCTGTAGCAAATCGCAGGCATCCGTGCTCACATTAGCAGGCGGGGGCTGCTCTCCCGTGCCTACGGCTTTACAATAACACTAGGGGTAGGGCAAACCAAGACTATGTGGAGTCGGGTTGGCTAATTCGGTTTTAGAACTGATTTGCCCAATTTTATTTATAAAGTCATATAGACTATTATATAAACACTGCTATGATAGTAGGTAAATGAAATAATGTAATGTGAATTGTTATAATTTTGTTTTCTGAAAAACCTCTTGACTGCTCTCCACTCCAACTCAATTTGTATGTAGATATATAAGTCCCGTGTCCAGCCACAAATGGATTGTGGGACTGAGTCAGAGGGATTAACTTTTTTATGAGTGTAGTTGTGTGTTAAAAAACAAATTGACATATTTGTGTTTCCTTATATGTAATTTTTAGTGAAATTTATTTTTATCGTAATTCAAAAGGCATTTCCAAAATCCAAAAACAGTGTAAATGGTTCCAGCTTAAGCCTGACAATTCTCCTAAATTGAAAAAATCAAGTACCAGATATCTACTTCATAATTAGAAAACAAATTGACATATTTGGGTTTCGTTATTACACAATTTTTAGTAAAATTTGTTTTAATCGTAATTAATTCAAAAAGCATTTCCGACATCTAAAAACATTGTAATAGGTTCCATATAATATAATATACCATATAATATTCCATAATAGCTTAACCCTAACAAACCTCCTAGACTAAAAACATTATCAAAATCAGGTGCCGGATGTCTATAGCCAATCCGAGAATTTAAATATTTTGCTAGTCTTAGTTTGGTTTAGTTTACAATGGGCTGTTTTCCGCAACTCCACATCTAAGTGCTTATTTTGAGTGTGGGCAGGAATAAGTGATTGAAATCTCCCTGAAGAAGTTCAACAGTCCTTTGATATTGCAAGCAACTTCGGGGAGCAATCTGGCGTGCCGAGATGTTTAGCCCTGTATGCGGCGACCTCCGCACATGTCAGCAATATATGATCCACAGTTTCATCCGCTCCAATGCATGCCTTGCACAGGAAGCTATCTGTAACACCTATGGTAAATAAATGTTTGTTAAAGGAGCCATGTCCTGTGATAGCACTTGTTACTATCCTGATCTGTGGCTTCTTCAGTCTCATTAGAGCCTTGGTTTAAACAACTTTATTTCAAGCAGGCCCCCTCAGCTTGTCTACAGTCTACTAAATTTTTCCAAAGCTGAGCATGTAGATTATTGAAGTATCTACATACCAGTGAACGAACGTAACCAAAGAGGATTGGTATTATTGGTTCCGGCCTTATAGTGGCCAGAGCCGATCCCTTTCTGGCCAGTTCGTCTGCATCGTTGCCTCTGGATCCACTATCTCCCTTAATCCATTACAGAGTCACATTGTTGTGCTTACATACCTTATTTAATTGTTGATGGCATTTATGTATTAGCCCTAAGTTCATCACATTACAACTTGTAGTTAGAGCTTGTAGTACTGCCATACTGTCGGTCAGTATTCTGATGGAGAAGTCTTTTACCTTCCTAGGATACCCAGCGGTGTACATATGTGTATGTTAAGGTCTTCAGAAAAAGTTCCAAATTCTACACCTTCATTTGTTTTAGAACTATCCATGAAAATTCTAAGCTCTTTTGGGTTTAATCCCTCTGGCTGGTTTATTTCATTTAATTGTATCTTATACTTCTTATCAAATACAAATTGTTTTGGAGTCTTATCATACTTGGCTTGTAAGATAGGAATTTTTGAGTAAATTCTATCAAATATACAAATATACCTCTATGAGGGACTCTAGTCTTACTCAAAAGGTTTGGGGTCTTGAGCCTAATGGCAGCTTAAGTTGCTTCTTGTTGTATGTGTAGATGACGCGGGGTTAGCTCCAGTATAGCCTCTAAAGCTGCTGTTGGTGTAGTTATTATGCAACCTGTGGCAGCCATACATATCAATCTCTGGTAACGCTGAAGCTTTTTTATTGTGGTGGCTTCATTCGTTTTGGTCCACCATACCAGAGAGCCGTATGTGATCATGGGCAGATTAACAGTTTTGTACAGCCACAGTATAATTTTTGGCGTCAAACCCCATTGTTTGCCAATCATGTTTCTGCATTGCCAGAAAGTTATACTAGCTTTGTTATATTTTGTTTTCTATGTGTTCATTCCAGATGAATTTGCTGTCCAAGGTAAGATCTAAGTATTTTACCTGAGAGGATAGCTGAAGTTTTGTGCCGAAAAAATTTGGGAGATGATAGTTATTCAGCATTCATTTTTGTGTGAACATTACTAGAACCGTTTTGTTTGGATTAACGGTTAGGTCATATTCCCTGCACCATCTCTCCACTATATGGAGAGCTGTTTGGGTCAGGTCGCACATCATGCTTGCTATCTTTTCCAGAGACCAGTATTATCAGGTCATTTGCATAACCTACTGTGTAGAAATGATTGACATTTAATTTGCTGATGATTGAAGTATTTCAAATATTACTTTTTTATTATTCATGTTGTATATTTTGGCGCTTTTTATAAACTTTCGTGCATATTTTTGCTATTTTTCTTGCACATTTTGGACTTTTTAAGTTGAATATAATCCGGTCTTGTGATGTACAGTAAAAACCTAACCCATATTTTGCATACAGATCGCATACTTCCTGCCACCTAGCCCGTCCACTCTTCAATTTTATTCCGCACCTATGACTGAATGACGGCACATACGAAATACGAAATACGAAACACATACTGTGCACTGTAGAAGTATGTACGAAACATATCTGTGAATTCACCTGTTACCTCACACTGAATTATTAAATACTGATGAAATGTGGTCAACTGTTTGTCTTGCCGATTGGTAACATACTTTTATTTTGCCTACTATTATTAACCTTTTGCATTTCCTAAATAATATTTCCTTCACTTTTATATCTACAACTAGAGATTTGCCCCAGCCTCGCACAGGTGATTTTTGGATCTTGACAACATACGCATGTATTATACTTATAAACCGTCCTCTTGAATCATTCTGTCTATTGTTGAAAACTGCATCAAAATCCGTTGCATAGTTTAAAGGATCTAAGCGTAAAGACGGCGGGAAGCTACTTTTTTTATACAATGTAGAGATAAGTGTATTGTACAAATGTTTCTGGTACAGGTGACCTTGCCCCCTGGACGGCACAAGATCGTGATCCTGGATGAAGCAGACAGCATGACGGAGGGCGCTCAGCAAGCGCTGCGGCGTACGATGGAACTGTACGCCAGCACCACGCGATTCGCCCTCGCGGCTAACAACAGCGAACGCATCATCGAGCCCATACAGTCGCGCTGTGCTGTACTACGCTACTCGCGGCTAACTGACGCCCAGATCCTTGCAAAGGTTTGTGTAAATTTTTATTAGCTGTTTTGAAAAATATATTAAGTGTGGGCTTATTTTTTATTCAAACGAGCACACAGTCCATGTAATGATAGGTGGATGCTTATAGACATCTTTTTTTTTATAGCAGACAGGGCAAACAAGCATGCGGCTCGCCTGATGGTAAGTGACTACCGCCGCCCATGAACAACTGCAACACCAGCGTAATTGCAGATGTGTCGCCGGCCTTTTAATAAAGAGTAAGTTCGTTTCTTGAAAGTCCCTAAGTCATATCGGTCAGGAAAAGACCATTGGTAAATGATTGTACAAATTAGTCATGTGTAAATTGCACATTAGTGGACCCCCAAGCATCCAGATGATGTGCATGACATGAAAGTTTGTCGCAATGTGCATTGATGAAATTTGGAAAATTTGGTTGATAAATATTAAGATAATTGGCTTCTATTAAAACCTGGAGGTTATTTGCATGCTTTAACATGCATAAACAATTATTTTTAAAATTTTTGCTGGTATCCCTTTTTGTCCGGGCTAATTTTTGGAATTGCTGAATTGATTGTGTTGAAACTTTACGAACAGTTAAGGACCAATGCCAGGAGGAATCTAGAAGGGAAAATTGATAAAATAAATTGTTTTTGATTATCTAAATACCCAAGCGAACCAGAACCAGGGGGTCGCTAGTAAAACATACAATTTTTTTATAAGTCACTTAATAACTGATGTCAACTTTGTAAAGCCCTAGGCCAGTGCCTAGTGTGTCCATTGGAGTAACATGTACTATGTACTAGAACAGACACCTCGAGCGCAACTCAGTTAGTACTGCGAGTGGGAGGAGGCATGAGGTACCTTTTTTATGGCACAGACTAAGTAAATATGAGCCCGTGGACTCTAACGCGTTTTGCAAACAACCAACTGTCGGCATCTCCTCTAGTACATAGTACACATATTACTTCAATGAATGTGCCTTATTTTAAATCCATCTCTGTTTGCAGGTGATAGAAGTGTGCAAGAAGGAGAATCTGTCATACACGGAGGAGGGGGTGAACGCTGTGGTGTTCACTGCGCAGGGAGACTTGCGCGCAGCGCTCAACAACCTGCAGGCCACAGCTCAGGTAGCTCAGCTGGTGCTACCAGTTCGTCTACTCCACAGAGTCATTCATTCATTTATGGGGCAATGTATACGCTATTACAACCAAGTCTCAGAAAATATACAATGTCCCTCTATTACCAAGTTTAAATTTTTTATTAAAAAAAATGTATAAAAGGGTTATTATAATAATAACATAATTGATAATAACTTAAGAAATGATCACTGCTGGCCGTATGAAGACGCTCAAAGTCGCTCAGCGAGCTATAGAGAGGGCTATGCTTGGAGTTTCTCTGCGTAATAAACTTAGAAATGAGGATATCCGCTGTAGAACCAGAGTGACCGACACTAGCCCAACGGATTAGTAAGCTGAAGTGGCAATGGGCCGGCCATATAGCTCGAAGAACTGGCAACCGTTGGGGAAAAAAGGTTCTCGAGTGGCAGCGTCGTACCGGTAGGCGAGGTGTAGGGCGACCCCCCACTAGATGGAGTGACGACCTGGTAAGACATGCAGGAAGTCGATGGATGCAGGTGGCTCAGGACCGTGCTTTGTGGCATACCTTGGAGCTGGCTGTAATGATGATGATGATGATAGGAAATGATGTGGTCACTACAAAGTTGTTTCTAAGATAAATTTTGCATATAGTTTGTACAACCTTTCTTATTGTATAATTTACTTTTAACAATTTACTTTTTTAATTTACTTTTTCTGAACCAGTGGTAAAAGCAAATAACTTACAATAAGAATTACCGTGGTAGCTTAGATGGTTAACGCTTCCTGTAAATATAACAAACCGCGAGTAACCCGGGTTCGATCCCCACCAGCACCAATGAAATTGCTAATTGCAATTTTAAGTGCTGATTTATCACGTGCTCGGCGGTGAAGGAAAACATCGTGATGAAACTAGCATGTCTGAGGAATAAGAAAAAAATTTTCGAAGACATGTGAAGTTCGCCAACATGCATTGGGGCAGCGCGGCGGACACTTCCTTGCCCTAAAACCCTCTCAGAAATGAGGGGAGTCCTGTGCCCAGCAGTGGGACGTATATAGGCTGTAACTTTACTCTTTACTTTAAAAATTACTTAACTAACTTAACTTTTATTCTGTTCTATTATTGTATTGTATTCAGGCCGGGCGGCACGTGAGCCCCGACAACGTGTTCCGCGTGTGCGACGAGCCGCACCCCATGCTGGTGCGCGCCATGTTGGAGTCTTGCACCCGACAGGATATACATGAGGCTTACAAGGTGTGTTTGAGTACCATGTACAATGATGATCTTGGGCAGTGCCATACCATTCAAGTTACGTTGTGTTGTGATTGTCACATGTGCGCGTACAAGGTGCGGTTGAGGAGCACGTGGCATAGCGACCCCAGCCAGTGGCTTATCATTCGAGTTACGTTGTGTTATGACTGTCACATGTGCGCGTACAAGGTGCGGTTGAGGAGCACGTGGCATAGCGACCCCAGCCAGGGGCTTATCATTCGAGTTTTGTTGTGTTATGACTGTCACATGTGCGCGAACAAGGTGCGGTTGAGGAGCACGTGGCATAGCGACCCCAGCCAGTGGCTTATCATTCGAGTTACGTTGTGTTATGACTGTCACATGTGCGCGTACAAGGTGCGGTTGAGGAGCATGTGGCATAGCGACCCCAGCCAGTGGCTTATCATTCGAGTTTTGTTGTGTTATGACTGTCACATGTGCGCGAACAAGGTGCGGTTGAGGAGCACGTGGCATAGCGACCCCAGCCAGTGGCTTATCATTCGAGTTACGTTGTGTTATGACTGTCACATGTGCGCGTACAAAGTGCGGTTGAGGAGCATGTGGCATAGCGACCCCAGCCAGTGGCTTATCATTCTAGTTTTGTTGTGTTATGACTGTCACATGTGCGCGTACAAGGTGCGGTTAAGTAGCATGTGGCATAGCGACCCCAGCCAGTGACTTATCATTCGAGTTACGTTGTGTTATGACTGTCACATGTGCGCGTACAAGGTGCGGTTGAGTAGCATGTGGCATAGCGACCCCAGCCAGTGGCTTATCATTCGAGTTACGTTGTGTTATGACTGTCACATGTGCGTGTACAAGGTGCGGTTGAGGAGCATGTGGCATAGCGACCCCAGCCAGTGGCTTATCATTCGAGTTACGTTGTGTTATGACTGTCACATGTGCGCGTACAAGGTGCGGTTGAGGAGCATGTGGCATAGCGACCCCAGCCAGTGACATCATTCGAGTTTTGTTGTGTTATGACTGTCACATGTGCGCGTACAAGGTGTGGTTGAGGAGCACGTGGCATAGCGACCCCAGCCAGTGGCTTATCATTCGAGTTACGTTGTGTTATGACTGTCACATGTGCGCGTACAAGGTGCGGTTGAGGAGCATGTGGCATAGCGACCCCAGCCAGTGGCTTATCATTCGAGTTTTGTTGTGTTATGACTGTCACATGTGCGCGTACAAGGTGCGGTTGAGTAGCATGTGGCATAGCAACCCCAGCCAGTGGCTTATCATTCGAGTTACGTTGTGTTATGACTGTCACATGTGCGCGTACAAGGTGCGGTTGAGGAGCATGTGGCATAGCGACCCCAGCCAGTGGCTTATCATTCGAGTTTTGTTGTGTTATGACTGTCACATGTGCGCGTACAAGGTGCGGTTGAGGAGCACGTGGCATAGCGACCCCAGCCAGTGGCTTATCATTCGAGTTTTGTTGTGTTATGACTGTCACATGTGCGCGTACAAGGTGCGGTTAAGTAGCATGTGGCATAGCGACCCCAGCCAGTGACTTATCATTCGAGTTACGTTGTGTTATGACTGTCACATGTGCGCGTACAAGGTGCGGTTGAGTAGCATGTGGCATAGCGACCCCAGCCAGTGGCTTATCATTCGAGTTACGTTGTGTTATGACTGTCACATGTGCGTGTACAAGGTGCGGTTGAGGAGCATGTGGCATAGCGACCCCAGCCAGTGGCTTATCATTCGAGTTACGTTGTGTTATGACTGTCACATGTGCGCGTACAAGGTGCGGTTGAGGAGCATGTGGCATAGCGACCCCAGCCAGTGACATCATTCGAGTTTTGTTGTGTTATGACTGTCACATGTGCGCGTACAAGGTGTGGTTGAGGAGCACGTGGCATAGCGACCCCAGCCAGTGGCTTATCATTCGAGTTACGTTGTGTTATGACTGTCACATGTGCGCGTACAAGGTGCGGTTGAGGAGCATGTGGCATAGCGACCCCAGCCAGTGGCTTATCATTCGAGTTTTGTTGTGTTATGACTGTCACATGTGCGCGTACAAGGTGCGGTTGAGTAGCATGTGGCATAGCAACCCCAGCCAGTGGCTTATCATTCGAGTTACGTTGTGTTATGACTGTCACATGTGCGCGTACAAGGTGCGGTTGAGGAGCATGTGGCATAGCGACCCCAGCCAGTGGCTTATCATTCGAGTTTTGTTGTGTTATGACTGTCACATGTGCGCGTACAAGGTGCGGTTGAGGAGCACGTGGCATAGCGACCCCAGCCAGTGGCTTATCATTCGAGTTTTGTTGTGTTATGACTGTCACATGTGCGCGTACAAGGTGCGGTTGAGGAGCACGTGGCATAGCGACCCCAGCCAGTGGCTTATCATTCGAGTTACGTTGTGTTATGACCGTCACATGTGCGCGTACAAGGTGCGGTTGAGGAGCATGTGGCATAGCGACCCCAGCCAGTGGCTTAACATTCGAGTTTTGTTGTGTTTTGACTGTCACATGTGCGCGTACATGGTGCGGTTGAGGAGCATGTGGCATAGCGACCCCAGCCAGTGGCTTATCATTCGAGTTACGTTGTGTTATGACTGTCACATGTGCGCGTACAAGGTGCGGTTGAGGAGCATGTGGCATAGCGACCCCAGCCAGTGGCTTATCATTCGAGTTTCGTTGTGTTATGACTGTCACATGTGCGCGTACAAGGTGCGGTTGAGGAGCATGTGGCATAGCGACCCCAGCCAGTGGCTTATCATTCGAGTTACGTTGTGTTATGACTGTCACATGTGCGCGTACAAGGTGCGGTTGAGGAGCACGTGGCATAGCGACCCCAGCCAGTGGCTTATCATTCGAGTTTTGTTGTGTTATGACTGTCACATGTGCGCGTACAAGGTGCGGTTGAGGAGCACGTGGCATAGCGACCCCAGCCAGTGGCTTATCATTCGAGTTACGTTGTGTTATGACTGTCACATGTGCGCGTACAAGGTGCGGTTGAGGAGCATGTGGCATAGCGACCCCAGCCAGTGGCTTATCATTCGAGTTTTGTTGTGTTATGACTGTCACATGTGCGCGTACAAGGTGCGGTTGAGTAGCATGTGGCATAGCAACCCCAGCCAGTGGCTTATCATTCGAGTTACGTTGTGTTATGACTGTCACATGTGCGCGTACAAGGTGCGGTTGAGGAGCATGTGGCATAGCGACCCCAGCCAGTGGCTTATCATTCGAGTTTTGTTGTGTTATGACTGTCACATGTGCGCGTACAAGGTGCGGTTGAGGAGCACGTGGCATAGCGACCCCAGCCAGTGGCTTATCATTCGAGTTTTGTTGTGTTATGACTGTCACATGTGCGCGTACAAGGTGCGGTTGAGGAGCACGTGGCATAGCGACCCCAGCCAGTGGCTTATCATTCGAGTTACGTTGTGTTATGACCGTCACATGTGCGCGTACAAGGTGCGGTTGAGGAGCATGTGGCATAGCAACCCCAGCCAGTGGCTTAACATTCGAGTTTTGTTGTGTTTTGACTGTCACATGTGCGCGTACATGGTGCGGTTGAGTAGCATGTGGCATAGCGACCCCAGCCAGTGGCTTATCATTCGAGTTACGTTGTGTTATGACTGTCACATGTGCGCGTACAAGGTGCGGTTGAGGAGCATGTGGCATAGCGACCCCAGCCAGTGGCTTATCATTCGAGTTTCGTTGTGTTATGACTGTCACATGTGCGCGTACAAGGTGCGGTTGAGGAGCATGTGGCATAGCGACCCCAGCCAGTGGCTTATCATTCGAGTTACGTTGTGTTATGACTGTCACATGTGCGCGTACAAGGTGCGGTTGAGGAGCATGTGGCATAGCGACCCCAGCCAGTGGCTTATCATTCGAGTTTTGTTGTGTTATGACTGTCACATGTGCGCGTACAAGGTGCGGTTGAGGAGCATGTGGCATAGCGACCCCAGCCAGTGGCTTATCATTCGAGTTACGTTGTGTTATGACTGTCACATGTGCGCGTACAAGGTGCGGTTGAGGAGCATGTGGCATAGCGACCCCAGCCAGTGGCTTATCATTCGAGTTTTGTTGTGTTATGACTGTCACATGTGCGCGTACAAGGTGCGGTTGAGGAGCATGTGGCATAGCGACCCCAGCCAGTGGCTTATCATTCGAGTTTCGTTGTGTTATGACTGTCACATGTGCGCGTACAAGGTGCGGTTGAGGAGCACGTGGCATAGCGACCCCAGCCAGTGGCTTATCATTCGAGTTACGTTGTGTTATGACTGTCACATGTGCGCGTACAAGGTGCGGTTGAGGAGCATGTGGCATAGCGACCCCAGCCAGTGGCTTATCATTCGAGTTTTGTTGTGTTTTGACTGTCACATGTGCGCGTACAAGGTGCGGTTGAGGAGCATGTGGCATAGCGACCCCAGCCAGTGGCTTATCATTCGAGTTTTGTTGTGTTATGACTGTCACATGTGCGCGTACAAGGTGCGGTTGAGGAGCATGTGGCATAGCGACCCCAGCCAGTGGCTTATCATTCGAGTTTCGTTGTGTTATGACTGTCACATGTGCGCGTACAAGGTGCGGTTGAGGAGCATGTGGCATAGCGACCCCAGCCAGTGGCTTATCATTCGAGTTACGTTGTGTTATGACTGTCACATGTGCGCGTACAAGGTGCGGTTGAGGAGCATGTGGCATAGCGACCCCAGCCAGTGGCTTATCATTCGAGTTTTGTTGTGTTATGACTGTCACATGTGCGCGTACAAGGTGCGGTTGAGGAGCATGTGGCATAGCGACCCCAGCCAGTGGCTTATCATTCGAGTTTTGTTGTGTTATGACTGTCACATGTGCGCGTACAAGGTGTGGTTGAGGAGCATGTGGCATAGCGACCCCAGCCAGTGGCTTATCATTCGAGTTTGGTTGTGTTATGACTGTCACATGTGCGCGTACAAGGTGCGGTTGAGGAGCACGTGGCATAGCGACCCCAGCCAGTGGCTTATCATTCGAGTTACGTTGTGTTATGACTGTCACATGTGCGCGTACAAGGTGCGGTTGAGGAGCATGTGGCATAGCGACCCCAGCCAGTGGCTTATCATTCGAGTTTTGTTGTGTTATGACTGTCACATGTGCGCGAACAAGGTGCGGTTGAGGAGCATGTGGCATAGCGACCCCAGCCAGTGGCTTATCATTCGAGTTACGTTGTGTTATGACTGTCACATGTGCGCGTACAAGGTGCGGTTGAGGAGCATGTGGCATAGCGACCCCAGCCAGTGGCTTATCATTCGAGTTTTGTTGTGTTATGACTGTCACATGTGCGCGAACAAGGTGCGGTTGAGGAGCACGTGGCATAGCGACCCCAGCCAGTGGCTTATCATTCGAGTTACGTTGTGTTATGACTGTCACATGTGCGCGTACAAGGTGCGGTTGAGGAGCATGTGGCATAGCGACCCCAGCCAGTGGCTTATCATTCGAGTTTTGTTGTGTTATGACTGTCACATGTGCGCGTACAAGGTGCGGTTAAGTAGCATGTGGCATAGCGACCCCAGCCAGTGGCTTATCATTCGAGTTACGTTGTGTTATGACTGTCACATGTGCGCGTACAAGGTGCGGTTGAGTAGCATGTGGCATAGCGACCCCAGCCAGTGGCTTATCATTCGAGTTACGTTGTGTTATGACTGTCACATGTGCGTGTACAAGGTGCGGTTGAGGAGCATGTGGCATAGCGACCCCAGCCAGTGGCTTATCATTCGAGTTACGTTGTGTTATGACTGTCACATGTGCGCGTACAAGGTGCGGTTGAGGAGCATGTGGCATAGCGACCCCAGCCAGTGGCTTATCATTCGAGTTTTGTTGTGTTATGACTGTCACATGTGCGCGTACAAGGTGCGGTTGAGTAGCATGTGGCATAGCGACCCCAGCCAGTGGCTTATCATTCGAGTTACGTTGTGTTATGACTGTCACATGTGCGTGTACAAGGTGCGGTTGAGGAGCATGTGGCATAGCGACCCCAGCCAGTGGCTTATCATTCGAGTTTTGTTGTGTTATGACTGTCACATGTGCGCGTACAAGGTGCGGTTGAGGAGCACGTGGCATAGCGACCCCAGCCAGTGGCTTATCATTCTAGTTACGTTGTGTTATGACTGTCACATGTGCGCGTACAAGGTGCGGTTGAGGAGCATGTGGCATAGCGACCCCAGCCAGTGGCTTATCATTCGAGTTTTGTTGTGTTATGACTGTCACATGTGCGCGTACAAGGTGCGGTTGAGTAGCATGTGGCATAGCGACCCCAGCCAGTGGCTTATCATTCGAGTTACGTTGTGTTATGACTGTCACATGTGCGCGTACAAGGTGCGGTTGAGGAGCATGTGGCATAGCGACCCCAGCCAGTGGCTTATCATTCGAGTTTTGTTGTGTTATGACTGTCACATGTGCGCGTACATGGTGCGGTTGAGTAGCATGTGGCATAGCGACCCCAGCCAGTGGCTTATCATTCGAGTTACGTTGTGTTATGACTGTCACATGTGCGCGTACAAGGTGCGGTTGAGGAGCATCTGGCATAGCGACCCCAGCCAGTGGCTTATCATTCGAGTTTCGTTGTGTTATGACTGTCACATGTGCGCGTACAAGGTGCGGTTGAGGAGCACGTGGCATAGCGACCCCAGCCAGTGGCTTATCATTGGAGTTACGTTGTGTTATGACTGTCACATGTGCGCGTACAAGGTGCGGTTGAGGAGCATGTGGCATAGCGACCCCAGCCAGTGGCTTATCATTCGAGTTTTGTTGTGTTATGACTGTCACATGTGCGCGTACAAGGTGCGGTTGAGGAGCATGTGGCATAGCGACCCCAGCCAGTGGCTTATCATTCGAGTTTTGTTGTGTTATGACAGTCACATGTGCGCGTACATGGTGCGGTTGAGTAGCATGTGGCATAGCGACCCCAGCCAGTGGCTTATCATTCGAGTTACGTTGTGTTATGACTGTCACATGTGCGCGTACAAGGTGCGGTTGAGGAGCATGTGGCATAGCGACCCCAGCCAGTGGCTTATCATTCGAGTTTCGTTGTGTTATGACTGTCACATGTGCGCGTACAAGGTGCGGTTGAGGAGCATGTGGCATAGCGACCCCAGCCAGTGGCTTATCATTCGAGTTACGTTGTGTTATGACTGTCACATGTGCGCGTACAAGGTGCGGTTGAGGAGCATGTGGCATAGCGACCCCAGCCAGTGGCTTATCATTCGAGTTTTGTTGTGTTATGACTGTCACATGTGGCCGTGCAAGATGCGATTGACCTCGATGTAGCTTAGTAATGAGCTTTTATATGTGGAAGAGCCACGCTGCACATGTCTTTTTATTGAATAAGGGTGACAAGTGAACACATAGCTCACCTGATGGTAAGTGGATATTGTGGCTCAGATGTTAATTAAGTTTTGAAATGCAAATGCGTTGTTACCCTTGTGGACTTAGATGGAATGCTTTTTTTCCAGTAAAAAGGGTTTTCAGTTCTCTACACTCACCACACTAAAGTAGCTTTACTGTCTATCGATAAACACTCAAGTGACTTCGTGAACTTGTATTGTTTTTTAATTTTTTCTTTTTTTATAGAAGAGGGGCAAACGAGTATTCGGTTCACCTGATTTTAAGTAACTACCGCCGCCCATGAACATCCGCAACATCAGAAGAGTTACAGGTGCATTGCCGGCTCTGTAGAAGGGAGTAAGCTCTTTTGTTGCTTCTTGCATCCAGATGGTGTGGATGGTATCGGGAGGGTTGCCGCGTAGTGCGTTCATGAAATTTGGCGGCTGGTATTAATCCGAACAATTCCTCAGAGCACTCCCCGTGATAGATGCGATAAAATACGCAAAGAGATGCAACATCTCTTCGCAGCGCCAGTGAATCAAGCAGATCAGTAAACCACTCGGTCGTCGACGATTCGAGCCGCTCTGCGCTGGATGCGGTCTAGTGGAAGGAGCTGGTAATGGGGAGCCCCAGCACAGAGATGGGAACAGTATTCCATGTGCGGCCGAACCTGCGCTGTGTTAAGTTGCATGCGGTATGCCGGCAGGCATGAAATATACTGTCCCGCTCTGCTGAGCACGCCAAGCTTTTTAGAGGCCAATTTGGCCTTCTCTTCCAAGTGACCACGAAACTGCACTTCATCGAAATACTGGCTAAGGCAACAAGGGGAGTGCCTTGAAACCGAGGATATACGACAAGGGGTTTTTTTGAGGGAAAATCCGTAAACTTGTGTCTTCCGAGGGTTAAACTGGACTAGATTTAGTCGCCCCCAATCCGAGACTTTGTTCAGCAAAGACTCGACTTCAGACACAAGTTGGTCTCAGTGCTCGGAGACGTTTTCCCGAGAAATGCATATGTCATTTTTTTATGAGCCATCAAATATTGATAATCGTGATCATTATCTACCGGAGCTTTTTAGAAATTAAGAGTTTCGGTTTTATTTGTTTTCCCATAACCATCTGTGCTGGAGAATTTAAACCATTTCGAGGCGTCGATCTGAAATTTATTAGACTGAAATAAAAATCTTGGCATGAGTATACGCATTTATTTAGTAAACTTTTTATAGTTTGGACGGTTTTTCACTTTATCCATTGAGAGGATGAGGTAACTTATCTATTTCCCATTCATTTAAAAATATCTGAAATTCTATCGACTTATAGACCGGCCCATTGTCGGTTACTATTTCAGCAGATATACCGTGTCGTGCAAACTGTGCTATCATATAATATGTTTGCTACTCGTACTGGTTAACTCCTCGACCTCAACACAATACACAAAGAGAATATATTTGTTTGTTTTATATTCGTATATGTCGGAAGGCAGTTTCTGCCAAGGCAAGTTCGGCACGCGCCCGGTTGAACATCGCTGCGCGCCCCAGCGGCCTTTAACTAACTTTATGCTACACTTAAAATATGTATTACTGGTAGATCAGCGAATAAATTCGATTTTTGGTAAATACCACCGCTGCCACCCAAGGTGGTTTGACACTGACTTTATTTTTATACCAGTTATAAATAACTTTCAGGTGATAGCGAAACTGGTGAAGCTGGGCTACGCGGCAGAGGACATCGTGAGCAACATCTTCCGCGTGTGCAAGACGCTCGACGTGTCGGAGGACGTGAAGCTGGCGTTCGTGCGCGAAGTGGGCGTGACGCACATGCGCGTGGCCGATGGACTCTCCTCGCCGCTGCAGCTGGCGGCGCTGCTCGCGCGCATGTGCCGGGCCGCAGCAGCCCTGGCTTAAGTGAACCCACCCACCGAGCCTTAAGTGAACGTCACGCCATACCTTGAGTGAACGTTACTCCGTATCTTAGGCGAACGTCACTCCGTGTCGTAGGTGAACCGACCACCCACTGCGCCTTAGTGAACATCACAGTACCAAATATTAAAGAACAATTAAAGTGAATGTGAAACTATACTTCTTACTGATAGGAATGAACCAAGTGTCATGTATAAGGACAGTTGCATGTTGAAGTTTAAATGGTAGATAAAAAAGAGACATTTCGTTTTCATCATTTTATTAATTATATTGTCATATAAAAATTAGAATAATTTTAATTTGTCCTTATATCTAATATATGAATACAGCAATGTATAAAATGTGTGGATTATTTTTATAACAAAATAAATGAGATATAATTTATTTGTAGTTAAGGCATTTACCGCCAGGTGGCGCTAGTGGAATGTGTTCACCGTGCTATCAGCTTGTTGTGCTCCCCCATTAGACTCTGTCAAGTGCAATAACTAAGATCAGTAGAGAATTCGGAAATTTTAAATAAACATGAGAAATTTGATAAAACAAGCACAGAATTAACAATGGCAAGTAAATCAGACGACTTAATAGTGCTATAGCCATGCTATACAACATAACATGTAACACGAATGGGTCCGAGAAGGACCCTGTTCTCACAGAATACCATTGTAAAATACCAGGTTAATGCTGCTGTTTCATATGGTAAGTGTAGATAACTGGAGGAACTTTTTACTGGAAACGAGGCGGACCATCTTAGTCCTTACAGGTGACAACACATCTGCATTTTCATTCGTAATCTACAATAAATATAGATGTGTCTATGGGCCACAGAATTCACTTAGTTACCATCCTGTGAACTGTGTGCTCGTTTGTCACCCATATTTTATTTAAAAAGAACTACAATCCACGATGGTGTATTTGAAACCGCCAGTAATTGATTCTAATTTATCAAAATCATTTATGTATCAACTAACAAATTACAACAACTTCAATTTTCATGAATAACTAATGTCAAAATTAGTGTACCCAATATAGTCTAGACTATTATTATTTTGACATTGTAAAGTTTGAGTATAAAGTCAGGGTTGGTGGGTGTTAGTCGTTGAACAAATATTTGTTTCATAAACAATTTTGACTGTGCGCATGCACTACCTATAATAAAGTGGTTGTTATGGAGTTCGCAACATTTCTTCATAAGGGTGTCAAGCATTAGAGATGGCTTATATGCAGAGTTCTCATAGTTTTTAAGCATTTAAAATCTGTTACCGAATAGTGTGTGGGTCACACGAACAGGCACTTGTTTAAAATTCAATTTTATAGGATAAATATTTATGAATAAAAAAACAAGCATTTGCTACACATAATTTAAACTTTTAAATTGAAAGTAATTTTTGTGTAAAACATGTTTTCGTTTTGAAGCGATAACTTCTTTTAGGCAATAAGTTGTTATGTCCTTGAAATTGCCATTTTATATTACTGGAATAAATTGAAATTATCACGCATTCGAATAGAATAGATTCGAATAGAATAATTTTTATTTAATATAGATTAGAAAGGAATTCTTATCAATTTTTTTTTACTTTTACCACTGGTGTGGAAAAAGCTTATAAAACTATGCAAGCTTTAAAAATCATTTAATTTATTTCCCTGCCATTTGTATTATTTCTGTCTGTGACTGTAGGAAAAGAAACTAGGGAACCTTCACGTTTATTTTAAACCTTAGTTATTTCCAAATATGAGATTCGGCAGAACGTCACAATGCCGTATATGCTTACACAATTGAAGTACTTATAATGTACTTACGTACATGATACATATTACTTCAATGTACCGACAGCACACATTATAAATGACATGTACGGCCCAGGTACTGTAATTGGACGCCACATTGCGTTTTTAGTGAGAAAGAATATGTTCTGGGTGAAATAAAGAAAGTTGGCATTGTATGATGAACAGCAATCTCGCGATAAAGTTTGCCTTATTTAGATCGGCACAGAAATGAAAGAATTTTTAATCGGAACATCACTTGTGATAAAACACTTCTATGTATACTGCACTGCTAGTACTAGACGGGTTCTGCGACTTTTCCTTACGAATTCCTCGTAACTCTATTAAAAATTATAAATAACATTTAGTTATTTTTTTTTTCAATCTTTTAACATATTGTGGTTGCAAGCTTTTAATATGTTTTAGATATCTGTGGAAACTTCATTGGTATTAGGATTACTTATATTTGTTTTATAATGTATTTTTTAATGTACTGTATGTTTCCCTGAAAAAGCAAATAAATAAATAAAAAACTCCTTCAGTCGACTGCGAGCGGCCGAGAAATCTAGTTCTTTGTTTTGTATATGGCGAACGTTGTTTTCGATAATCGAATCTCATTTTATTTATGTGCGTACTTCGTTAACGTGATTTAAAGTATATTTTAGATAAGTATGTAACTTTATTTAGTATTTTCCTAAAACAGTAGAAGTCTTAAATGAAGGTACAACTGCGTGGCATATTTACCGTGCGTATTTTACAGCGCCTGTGCGATCTACAGCTGTGACACAGTTTTTGTTATGAATTACTGGTCTAGTATGTATATATATATATATATATATATATATATATATATATATATATACATATATATATACACAAGTCTTTGCTTGTGATGAAAAGTGGATCCAGAATGATCCGTAATGCTCGTCGCTATGGTTTCGATAGGACGGTGACTATGGTTTAAAACAATCGATCACTAATTTTAAATCGTATTCGTACCTAAGTGAATGGCAAAGGTGGGTCTGCAATAAGTGACACTCATTAATTAAATTAAATATAATATTAAAAAATGATTTCAAGTTTTCTACATAAAATGTGAATTTCATTTAAAAATATTTGCTATGTAGTCATTGAATAAATTTGTCATGCTCTGAGTTAGACACTCACTGTGTATGAACTGGGTTTATCTATTGAAGAAAGTCAATCATTCTAATAGTACCTAAATTCGTGGCGTTTGTCACTGACGCTATTGGAAAATAAGAGATGATGGCAAATAGCTTATAGGAACATAATTATGAGGTTTGGCCGGAACTTGTCCGCCGGCGGATTGCTACTCCTGTACGTATTGTTCGTATTGTGATACATAAAAGTGGCGTAATTTTGTGTATTAAATGTCCGCACAAATGAGCTATGTATTAGTGATGTGAATCTCAACATAAATTATCTGCTTAGGCGCCTTGAAATTCTATCGTCAGCGACTGTCTTATGGCTCGAGCTGACGTCAATATCTCCCTAAAACTTCACAATGTGTCGCATCACCATATTGTGGAGAAGTTTAAAAAACTTTATTATAAAGAATAATTTCAAAATACACTTGACACTGGCAAAAGTACAACCACATGAATCCATTACTAAAGACAAAAAGAAAAATAGCGCACCGTGTGTAGCAAGGCCAGGTCGACTGTTGCGAGGATTGTCAGTGCAGCAGCGCCTGCTGGGCCACGGGCAGGTCGGCGATCATGCGCTGATGCTCCTCGCTCAGCGCCTGACACACGCACAAGCTCACAATGAATCCACACTCCACTCTAACTGCGCTGCTAACTGTACGCTGCGCCGCTCCGTCACCACCCCCTTGTGCACTGACTAACGATACTGGCAAACCCAGGGGACAAAACTTCTGCACGCGGTAGAACCACGCTGCAGCTTCATTATTGTTTATTTTTTATGTCTGATGAAATGAGTAAAATAGCAGCTTAACGCTGCTCTGTTTCGTATGGCTATGTGTAGAGAACTGGGCACTCTTTTAAGTAGAAACGAGACATTCCATCACAGTCTAGGGGTGACAACGCATCTGTATTTTTGATTCTTAAAAGAAGACAGATGTTGATGTCTATGAGCCACAGCATCCACTTATCATCAGATGGACTTTGTGCTCGTTTGTCACCCTTATACTATAAAAACGCAGAGATAAACTAATGGAGGTAACATAATGATTTCAATTTACGGAACACTAACAATAAAAATTTTTTTTTTTTTTTTTGCTTAGTTTTTCTTGGGGTACTTAAACTTTTTTTAATAATATTAACAATGCTATAAACAGTACCCGGTTGACCGAGCTTTGCTCGGTATTTTTCGCTCGGTTTTTTTTAATTCGTGTGTTTTGGAAATTATATTTAGATACAAATTACACACTGATGAAATACGAATAATATTTTTTGATCTTAGCGACATAATAGAAAAAACTGAACTGGTTATTTGAATAAAAAATCATGAGTGCAATTAGTTTAATTTAAAATTTCGTGTTTTTAAAAAAATACTAAAAAAAGGGCTTGAAAAAATAGATTTTCTCAAAAAAGAAAGGAACTTGCAAAAAAATTAAAAAAAGTTGATCGGTGGTCGGTCTGGGCTCGAACCACAGTATTGCGATTTTGTGACCGCCCAATACACAAATTAAGCTATTTGTAATTATTAATAAACTGTCAAAATTTACCTTTTTATTCTAACGATATTGTAGCAGTTTTTCATTGCCTAAAAACACGGACAAAAAGACATTTTCTAAAAATAAATCCTAGCTACATCGATTTATTGCCCTCGAAACTCCCTGCACACAAAATTTTATGAAAATCGTTGGAGCCGTTTCCGAGATTCCGATTATATATATATATATATATATATATATATATATATATATATATATATATATATATACAAGAATTGCTCGTTTAAAGGTATAGGATTACTAATATTCCACTTAACCACTCGTGGTAATCTTAAATTGCTTATGTTACGAGTGGTTCACGCCAGTAGTCGAATGGCGGATTTGAACCCACGACCTTTTTTGAGTTCGCGGTCAGCGCCCTGCCATTGGTCTACTGTCGCTTCAAAACGCTAAGTCGCGCCTCTGGCTCGAATTTCAGCCAAAACCGATCAAAGTCCACATGTAGGTTAGTTGTGTTTGTCGCCGAGTTTACGTTGCTTTATACAACCGAGCTTGATCACATGAGCATTACCTACATGGAACACAGGGGCACAGGTGGGTCAGGACGAATGAGTGTCTCTGTGTTAGCGGATACTTTGTGGCGCTATCATTTCTACTGCACAATTAATAGCTTCCGAATTCAATCTGTTACTTTAAAAACCGACAAAAACATGGTAAAAATATTGCACTTTATTAATTTCGTAATAAGCATGGACAATTTAATTATTACGTATAAGAAAGTAGAATACTTTTCTTGTGTTTTGAACTTATCTATTTATACATAATATTATGATTAAAAATTCAAATTGGAAGCGTAGCTCCTCGTATATATTTTATAAATTGCAGTCAACCCTATAATATATTTTGAAATAAAATTTCGATGTCAAAATTACATTATATCAATAAAACGTAGAAATGCTCCATCACTATGGAAAATGCCAATTTTTTTTATATTTCATTAGCATCAGACGCAAAATGGCCAACAAGACACGAGCACCAGTACGAAGTACTGTTATATATTATAGAGTGGCGAGCGATGCCAGGATTGTTCACTGTTAGCGTATAATTTTTAAAGAAACAAAGGGAAACATTTGTATAAAAACATTAAATTACGTTTATACATTACAATAAAGCGATAAATATGTAATAGATATAAACTTAGAGAATTAAAACCCGGGCCTGAATATACCCATGCACTAAGTCGTTAAACATGCACAGCCGTGGATGGCCTGCCATGCAAGGATTTTGTAATATGTTATTGCATGTATTTACATATCTTATGCTAACTTGAGGTTAGTGATACATTTTTTTCGCAATATTTTTAGTATTAACACATATTACATACATACTCACTCAACTCATTCACTAACACACACACACGCGTGTGTGTGTGTTAGTGAATGCTATATACAGGGTGGCCCAAAAGTCGTGGATCAAACGCAACTAGGGGTTAGATGGGGTCATCAGCTGCAAAAAGTTGTTCTACGGGAGGTCCTTAAAGTCAACCCCTGCAGAGTTATAATTTATTTTGTGTTTTTATGAGAAAATTGACTTTTTTTTAACTAATTCTTATTAAAATACCAAAAAATAAACATCCTCTATCTTTTTTATAATTTTCACTAGATTGGTACTGATGAGTCCTTGCGTTAGACATGCCATTTATGGTTGTTTATTGGGTGTGTTGAAGATAATATTAAGTTTTACGAATTTTTTTTTCTCAAATCATAACTTTTTATTTACTTCGGACCCCACTGTGAAAAAAAAAATACTCTACCGAAAATGACCCTGTATTACAAGTTTTGGCGCATTTAATAGGGATTCTGAAATGGTATTACACATGGCCATGAGTGGCTCTAATATCTTTCTAGGACGAAAAAACAAAGCAACGATTGTGAAATAATTGTTTTATTAAGCAAAACATTTTACAATAAATGCTCAAAATTCCTGCCTCTGACCATAATACATAATCTGCACCGTCTAATAAAATTCCTACGTAACCTACGGAATGCACTTCTGTTGTTAGTTACTTGTACTCTAGCAAACTCGAGCTTTTGTCGTAGTTCTTGTTCGCTATTGTTCTCTCCTTGGTAAACTATTTCTTTAAAATAGCCCCAAAGAAAAAAATCTAATGGATTTAAATCGGCGACCGGGGTGGCCACGCAACATGTCCGCCTCGACCAAGTTAAGAATATGGTTTAAATTATTTTGCAAAAAATTTAAATACTGAGCACCATTCAGCCTTGCTGGCATTTCATGCAGCACCAACTGCTGGCCAATTATACCAGCCCACATGTTAATACCAAACAGATTCTGGAATCGATCATTTCTTATGATATGGGGGTTTACTCTGGAGTAAAAATGTAGATTGTGGATATTGAATACTCCCATTCTTCTAAAAGTTGACTCATCCGTCCATAAAACCTTGTTAAAGAACTGCGGATCTTCTCTGTGATATCTTAGCATCTCTCTACAAAACCGCACTCTAGGTTCATAGTCACCGGGCAGCAAAGCTTGCACCCTTTGCACGTGGTAGGCGTGATATTTTTTTCTGTTAATGACACGTTGCACCGTCGATCTTGGAATCCCGATATTACTGGATATTTGGCGTTGACTTATACTAGGATCCAATCTTAATTCTCTTAGCACTTCATCTTCATTTTCAAATTGCATCACTGGTCTGCCTGCTGTCATAGCATGCTGACCGGGTAAGACTCCCTCCATGTACGAATTATGTACGCGCATAAAGACCCTGTAATCCGGAAAACGATCACGGTTAGGGTAGCGTTGACGATATTCCCTGGCAGCAGCCCGGGCATTACCGTCGCAAAAGCCATACAGGTAATGCATTTCTGCATACTCCCGTTGGGTGTATTCTCTCCTCGTAGCAGCCATCTGTCCACTTTTGTAGCCAATCCGTCCGATTCACACAGCACTGGTCACAGGTAGGCAATCTATCACAAGTCCGAAAAACAAAGCGTAGGTCAAAGGAAAGAAACTGGTCACAAGTCGTCGTAAAACCGAGAAAAAGAACACGTGCGTACCCACAGGCAGGAAGCAAGTTACTAAAGAACACTAAACATTCTAAAGAAACATGCTCACGCGTATCCCCCAGCCCCCGCCCCTGCCGGCCCAGCCTTTTGTTTCCTAGAAAAGATATCGCTACCTGAACTGACGGGCCAACCGGCCTTTTACTGACAAAGGATTAAATAGTTAGTGTAAAAGAGAGGCAGAGAGTCTTTGTCATTAATTGTATTAATTCTAGTTTATTTTTAAATAAGCCTAACCGAGTTTTATGGTTGGGTTAACTTTGGCCTTGCCATGAATAATCGTCCTAAAAAAGATATCAAAGCCACGCATAACCATGTGTAATACCTTTTCAGAATCCCTATTAAATGCGCCAAAACTTGTAATACAGGGTCACTTTTCGGTAGAGTATTTTTTTTTTCACAGTGGGGTCCGAAGTAAATAAAAAGTTATGATTTGAGAAAAATAATAATCGTAAAACTTAACATTATCTTCAACACACCCAATAAACAACCATAAATAGCATGTCTAACGCAAGGACTCATCAGTACCAATCTAGTGAAAATTATAAAAAAGATAGAGGATGTTTATTTTTTGGCATTCTAATAAGAATGAGTTAAAAAAAGTCAATTTTCTCATAAAAACACAAAATAAATTATAACTCTGCAGGGGTTGACTTAAAGGACCTCCCGTAGAACAACTTTTTGCAGCTGATGACCCCATCTAACCCCTAGTTGCGTTTGATCCACGACTTTTGGGCCACCCTGTATAATACTATATAAACTAGACTAAGTTATTGAATAAAGTATTTTGAATTTTTCAATAATAGTAAGTTGGTAACTCTTTATATACGATTAACAGAAGGGCAGGCCAATTAAGCCATCTTTACACTACATGATCATAATTTGCTAAGATGTTGTTAGAAATGTTTGTTAGAAATTTAAAGACAAAGTTACTTTAAAAATTTAAATCTATTGAAATATTCCCAGGGAACTGCATTTGAATCAGTAAATTACATCAGCTGTTAATGTCATATTGTAACG